GTATTACATACTACTCAATTGCCTTTGTTGTTGTACACTTCTTATTTGGCAAATTTGATTTTACATATTCAATTGCAGCAATAAAGCTTATGTATGCACGCTTTTATTGTGTTCTGTAGTTATACAAACCCGACCAGAGCATACTGGGTAAATATTTGAGTACTTACTAGTATTTTATAGGTAGCTTTACCTGGTGTATTGGGTAAAGTTTCCATCAAGTAGTGTACGGTAAACCGTTCTGGTAGGGAACATACTTACACATTTATGGGTGTATGTATGTATGTGCATAACAGATTATTTTTTCACTTACAAGGCTTCTCACAAGGCTTTCAGAAATGGATTAATTTTGGTTTAAAATACGTTATGCAAGTAGTAAACCCGTTACAGCTTTGATATCAATTTCAACTCGCAAACAGATATGTATTTGTATATACAAATTTATGTAGCATTGTGTGTCTTCTTTAAGCTTCAATTAGGTAACAGAATAAAATTCACAATTGTCTTAGGCAGGATTAGTTTTGCATACAAAGTAATAATCAATTTAAAATGGTTACATAAAGGAACCGACTCTCATATGAAGTAGATAATATTCAAAAGTTATTGTTCACTGTACATATTTATTTAAGTTAAACGACAGTGAAAAAAAATCGACATAAGATTGTAAGGATAAATATTGATTAGCAATTTATTTGTTATTCATTCTCAGACTGAGGTGCTTTGGATTCTGAGTGGATTACGTAATTTTCGTAAAAGTTCCCGTAATCGTTGGTGCTAAAATTATGTTAATGGACAAAGTCAAACTTAAAGCTGAAAACACACCGGATCAGACATGGGTGTACGCATATACGGGACGGTAAGTTTCTTACTTAGCATTTCATAATTAATTTCCAATTCGAAAATGAATGCAATAAATGAAAACTTGAGAAGTCTTCATATCCATCTCGGTAGTATTACTCAGTAATTTTATCAACTGTGAACTTTGACTCAGAACTCGATGACAATGCAATACGAAAGATGAATTAATTCGATGGCTGGCACAGGAGTCGAGATATTTAAAAAACCCGTATTTATAGTCCGGTTTGGTTCATATTTATAACGCACATTAATTACGTGAAAAGGAATAACTCCGATTGGTGACGCAGGATTCGATATATTTAGTAAACGAGTATTTATGATCTGAATTGGTTCGTATTTAGAAAGCTTGCTTTAAAAGTATTTTATTTTACTACTAATTTATTTTAATTTTATTTAAAAAATCAACATGTGCCCAGCGTGGCAAAAAACTCTCGATTGCACCCAGCTGTTATAATCTTCAAAGACTTACATATATTTTTCGAGTTTAACCAATAAAAATTAGAACTAATTATTAATATTTTCTTCGCTCAAAGATTGTAATTATTATTGGATTTAATTTTTTCACTTAATTGTATTGATTATCCAAAAAACTTGAAAGCTTTACTTTACATCATAATAAAAGAAAATTTTCAGGTCAAAGTTTCAGCTGGTTGTATGTGTATGACCTTTTAGGTTTTAAAATAAGCATTATTTTTGATTAGAAAATTAAAACTCAATAATAATTTTTATCTCTGATCAAAAAAATAAATAAAATAAAATAGGTTCAAACCCTTTTCAACCCAAATCAAAAATTTAAAAAAATAAAAAAATTTTTTCTAATAGCAGTCGCCTCTCAGCAGGCAATGTCAAACATCTGCCATGAAAAACAGCTTATCATAAAAATACAATCGCCATTCGGAGCCGGTGTAAAACTGAAGGTCTCTCCTTATTGTGTGACAACATCATGGCGCACGCCACAAATCGGAGGAGACCCTCAACCAATCACTAACATACGTGCAAGCGCCAATCTATTCACGGTGCTAAAAAATAGTTTTCTTTTAGTTCTTGAACCCTCCATTTTTATTTCGTTAAAAACCGCTCTTTTTATCCTTGATGCATTTATATGTATACAGCTTGACTAAATTTCTTTAGATAGATTAGTTCGTTGGGAGTTTTCACCGGGTAAAATTTTAAAACTCCCTACTTTTCTTATTTTTTTCCAACTTTGACCATCTCTGATTTTAAAACTTTCTATCAAAGTATCCAAACATGTAACATTTACCAAAAAAAAAATTATTTCCGGATAAGTTAATGCCAAATGTAAGACAATGGCATGAAAATTGTCGAAGTTAAGCAATTTAAATAGAAATACGGCCTTGAATTTATTTTTGAGTATGTGCCGTACGTTCAGATTTGTTGAGCAGTTGGGAAAGGAATTCATCAATATTTAATTTAAATTGGTATTACCAATGGTTCTTTAGCAAAAAATTGTTTTTTTTTATTAAAATTTTAGAAAAATTAGCAAGAAACCGCCCACTTATATCATATACATATTTTTCTCAAAAAGTACTTCACCGATCTCGACTAAATTTGGTATATACCAAAAAGTGTTCGAAGCTCTTACAGTTTTATTTTGTAAACGGATTCAGCGGAAAATTTTACATTAGGATTGTCGCAGGTCGGATAATTTTTTAATTTCTGTAAACTTGTGTTATTTTCGACAAAAATGCAGGACGGACTCGAGTGCGTTCTAATATGAAATGCTTGTAGTCCTTTTGCCACGCCCATTACAAATTATATAACGTTGGCAATCTTATAAAATGAGCTATCGAAATAAGCCATTTGCGAAAGAAAACAAAAATGGTACATTGTTTAAAAAATGCGGTACAATTTTTTAATCGAAATTTTTGGCAAAAAAAATGTCCCAAAAAAAAATTTACAAAAACAAAAAGGCACGGAAAAAGTTCTAATAGTTCAGCAACTTTTGATTCTCTAACATAAGTGTGACATGAGGTAAGTATATTAAGAAAATTTGGAACTTTAAGAAAAGGGGATGAAATTTGTACGCTAAAACTCGTATAACTCGACAAACAACCGCGGTAGAAAAAAATGCTTGCAAACATTTTCTGAAATATGTTTAAACGTGAACACTAATTAAACAATAACATAATCCTAAATTTAGCCAAAACAGGCTAGCAATAATAAAAAAAAACTTCTACCGAAAAATAGTAGGACTTTAGGGATTTTATAAATTGAGGATACAGTTGGGCCTGCAATTAGCCTTGGTAATATACATAGTTATGAACATGAATAGCAGAAAAGCTCAGATAACCTGTGTATCTCTTACTATCACAACCAACGAGTTTCTTTCAAAATATATGTATGTATGCACTTATTCCTACTTCATTAATTGTCTATTTAAGTGGCGGTGTGACTATTCCATTAAAGATTTGTTATTAAATATTTAGCCTTGAGATACAGTAAAGTGATTGGTTATATATATATGTATATATGTACATGCGACAATTATCACTTAAGCCTAATGCCAGGAAGCTTACAAACAGAAAGTCACTTAATTGCTTATTAATGGCACATATTGAGACAAATATTTACATGTGAGTGTACGTTTCGTTACCTCAAAATCAAACATTCTATGAATATCAAATCTTCGGCACTTCCACAGACACTATACAATTTTCCATGTATGTACATTGTACACATACATATATACCTACATAAGTATTTGCTATTATCATTAACTCTTAGCATAAACACACATAAATCTAAAACAACGGCTTTGGTAGAATTCATAAATCAAGGGACATAGTCTAATAGACTCCTAAATCTACAAAGTTAATTTATGGAAGTGTGCATAGCGCCAATACAAGCAAGGTATAAGTATGTATGTATGTATGTATGTATGTATGTATGTAAGTAGATTACATTTATTTCGATACATATGGATATCATATCTAGTTTCACTCCTGGCATATTGACACCAAAATGTGTCCTTGTTGTTGTATTTTATACCAACCTGTCAAATAGCATTTACAGCGACGCACGATTGAATTACCACATACCCCCACATATGTATGTACATACATCTACAGACAGAGGCGCGGACATAAAGCTAACAAACGTTGACATGATGATACGATATGACGTCTCAACAAACGCTGCATATTAAATCAAGCCATCAAAATAAATACGTTACCATAGCTTATGGCACACGTCACTAGTGCCAACAACAATACTATATAATAACAATAATAACTCATAAGCGGTGTCACATTAGAAAGAGGAACATAGACGTATGTATTTACTTACAGGATGGTCCATATAGTGGGCTCTTTATAAATATTGAAAAAAAAATAAAAATAAAAATAAAAACATAAATAATATTAATGGCTTCGCAGCAACACATTCTGTTAACCCAGTTTTGCAAGACCTTGGTTTCTGGCTCTAATTCACGAATGGCTAATGGCTTGTTTGCGGAATATCGGTGCTTCACGGCAACCCACAAAACAAAGCCTAACGGCGTCAAATCAAAGCTCCGAGGTGGCCAATTGACATCGCCAATTGACGGCTGATAACACGATTACCGTACGATTTCGCGCAAAAGATCGCTTCTGGCATGGGCTG